CAGACGCCTCACTGGGGCGCAAAACGCACCGGCCGAGCCGAGCCGAGCCGAGTTTTAGTAGTTGCCAAAAAATCTGGCTGCATAGTCGAAAGCAATACTCATTCTTGCTTTTTTTTTCAGTTTCTCAACTTCCCAAAGTTGGCTAATCCAGGTAAACATATACAAAAATTTTAAGTTGGGCCAAAAGGCGTAAAACATTGCACTGGTGCATGAAGCAACTAATAAGAGCACTTTATAGCATTTTTGTAAAATACTAACCATTCCCAGATTCGTATAGATTTGTCATCAGAAGTTGAGCAGAACCGCCGATTTTTGTCAAAGAAGGTGATTGAATTGACAATACCCAAATGGCGGTCATATTCCTGCAACAGTTAAACTGTTCATAGCGGCAATAGCAGCAACAAGAAACAGCGAAAAGCTGAAGAAGTGAATGATCGGTGTCTCTACCTGAACAATCTCACCGGAGCGCGTATCCCACTGTAAAATCTTCTTATTCTGCATCCCGGAAAGAAACATATTCTGCTTGTCTTCGTCAGGATTGAATTTGACGCAGAAGGGTATGTGCCCTGTGTGAAAACGCTGCTTGACTTGTCCTGAAATGTATTACCACTTCGAAATTAACGAAAAACGAACTGTGAGTTTAGCAACATGCTTCGCATCATTTCAGCTATTATACATGTAAGAAACTATGCAAAGTTATGCAGCAGTTCACAAAAGTCATGCATTTGCTGTCCCCTAAATACTACAACAGGAAATAAGAAGGGCCTAAGGTGAAAGACGCAGTAGCGCTATTTTGCGAGGTTTTGGTGGCGTAATGGGTGGATTAGGACGCAAATGGAACGAAACAGATATCATGCATCGGGATATAAAGATACAGCTAATATCACGTCCTCTGCCGCTGCTGTCCCACGAATTTGTCTACTTAAAAATTATGAATCGTAACTCCTGAGATCAAAAAACAGAAGCCCATTTTCAGTAACGTTTTTAGTGCTACGACAAAAATTAATCTTTTTTTTTGGCCTCTTCCTTAATAAATACATCAGCCCGAACCAACTAGAACTCAAATTGAGGACGTAGAAATACAGATTTTATATTTATCGCCCACTGGGCTAGTCTGGGTGTACAAAATAATTATTTCAGTACCCAAGGTTTATTAGCTACAGCGCTAAATTATCAGAACAAGAACAGAGACATTCATATACTTACAATCGCATCATATCAGTAAAATGAAATAATAATTTTGGTACGATGAAACAGAATACGTACCTGTTTCGGTATCCCATAACTTTATGTATCTGTCGAAAGATGCCGACAAGAATTCCGTGCCATCATTGTTGAAGCAAACATCTTTAACGGACATTTTATGACCGGCATAAGTCCTCACCACATTTCGCTTCCCATAAACTTCCCATAATTTGATCTAAAAATATTGCCCTTTCTTCATTCAGTGAGAACTCGTTGTTGTATTTATCAAATGAAGGGAATCTTTTCATGAAAATTCAGAAAAACGGCAGAAGGAAAGAAGAAACGGATGCCAAAATTAGCTTCAGCAAATTGTTAAACAGATGGTGTATTTGTGGTCACAATAATCATGAACGCTGGCGAGAAAATGCGCTACGACGAAACAAAAAGATGAATACTGGAAGACATCAGACCTTGTTATCCATCGCAGCACTGAGGAACAAATGCGCGCTTCTTGGGAACCACCGTAAACAGTTTATGCCCTTATTGTGTCCACGATAAGAGTGCATGTGTTTCTTCGGTATAAAACAACGCTCCGGCACGTGATCTTCACGTAAGTTCACGCCAATATACTGCGGCGCGTGCATGAACGATCGCCCCATGTAATCTTCCGCTTCTTTCACTATAACGATGCCTCGAGCATATTTCGAAAACTAACACGCAGAACTGATTTTTAAAAGAATGCCTGGGTATTCGTATACGAAACAGAAGGATTCACCTAAAAATATCTATTTGGAAAAAATTATGCTGTTTTACGTGGATGAGACGAGAATAAGAACGGAGCAAGATCGAAACTCTGGTGATGAAAAGGAACGCAGCAATAAAAATCTTATCTATTTGGGACATCAAAGAGAAAAAATAAATTTTGCAATAAAACTAAAATACTCAAAAACCTCGGAAATTATACGCAATTATTTAAAATTTCAGGAAACCGATAGCATTTGGATTAATCTAGCTCAGCGTTCATCTAACAAACCATACTGATTCGCATTTTCCTTTAATGAGAAGAAACAAACGGTGTAGCGTTGAAGATTCGTCCGCGATGACATCCTGCAGTTGTGCCGCCGCTTTGCGGCCAGCTCGACTATTCTTCTGGCGTTTTTTCACGATCTCTTCGAGTTCCTTCGCTAATTCGGGATCCGGCCGAGATACTTCCACCTCGTCCTCAAAACGTGCCCACGGTCCTGAACAAAATTAATGCAGGTAAAAATAATAATAAATGCCAATGTTAAAGGACAAGAAGAATTTGTTCAAGATTGCAGGAAGAGGAAGAAACAGTACCGGTATATCCATCAACATCACTGGGATCCATGTTTCGTTTTCTCTTTCTCTTTTCTCCGCCTGTTTTCTGACCCTCAAACAGGCTTGCACCCTGTGTTTCCTCGGCCTGAAATGATCATGGTTTTTTATTCCTGTGCATGCTAGTCAGTTATCAGCAGCTTAATATAATGGAAAAACTTTAAAGTACAGAAAAATATCTATTTCATTGCAATGTATGTATCCGTGCAAGAGTTTTTAGCACAATCTTTCCACGAAAACTGCAAGAATAGTGTCTCATGAAAGACATTTTTCCTCTAAAAATTCAGACAAGAATCATGCGCCGCTTTCATGATAAAAGCGAAGTCTCGATTTCTCCAGTGAGACGTTTCTCCAGTGTCACAATGCAACTTTTTTTCTTGTTTTAGTAGCAAATTAACGCCGACAGATGCCAACGAGGCGAAATCGCTCTCAGGTATGCGTCTAAGCAAATTTCGGAAGGGGTAACTTAAGTAGCATTTGCTGCTGTCATGACTTACTATTTACTCTATTTTGGATGCCTCCATCTCTCCGAGATAATGAATCAAGAGGAAGTTTTTAGTTTTTATGCGTTTTTTGCAGCAATGCAATGCGAAAAACGCATATTGACGAGAGGTT